CCATGGAGAAACGAAAAAGGTCGAAGTGCGAACCGGGGACTAGAATCGAACCTGTTGGAACACGCGATTGGTATCGACCAGAATCGTGAAAGGCTAACAGGGTCGTTATCGCAGCATGCGCTCAAGGGCCCCCCTACAAGTCCACCTGCGTCGCACCTGCCTGCTTCGGCATGAATGGAACTTAGCGGTACCGAACGTAGGCACTGTACGAAAAAAAGAGTGAAAGGCAAGGCCGCTGGCGGAAGTCGCGAACGAGAAGAGCGGGGATCGACATTGACATTGGCAATGACCGTTTTAGTTACGCGCCGGCACCGTCACGTCGCCGCGACTTTTCCCGCCAAGAAAAGGGTCAAGTGGAACGCGACGCCAACGGATTCGTGCGTTTCGCGATTTTCCACGGAACGATCGACCGACGTGGGCGTGTTGGTCCGAGATAAAAATACATAGGGTGGGTTAAATACGTGATAAAAGTCTTATAGAAAATTGGATAGTTAAAAACAAAAATGTGAAAGGGAAAAGATGAATGGTTCGAGGAAGAGAACTGTTTCTTTTCGAATTCTTGCACCGGTGTTTAAATTTATAGGTGACCAAAACCGTCGGAGTTTAAAGTATTTGTTGTTTCATTAGCTAAGTTACAGTAGATGTAGAATGTATTTGTACACCGATCAATTTCCCAAAAAACTTTTGTGTGAAATTGTAGTTTCTTAATTTCTTTTTTTATAATCAATGATATTTTACATATTCTCGAAAGTCTCTAAAATAGATACAATCCAAACTTGTGGAATTAACAAAAAAATGCGAAAAGTGAGTAAAAGTATAGAAGCAATAAGTACTAGGTTGTCCCTAAAGTTTCTTCCGTGACTGGCATTCAGTTATTTTGTGTAGCAATGTTTATATAAATAGACAACCTAATTTCTTAGATGGTAATGTTGTAACAGTAATGGAGCAAAATGAATCGTACACAATTCAATAATGTAGCATTAGACATAAAATATTGTGTATGTATTACTTATTAATGAAATGGAAGAAACTTTTGGGACAACCTAATATTTGTACGATTCTTATGACGAACCATTTACAGCAGAGTTTGTAACGTAAACACAATAGTTTATTGCTCCGTACGAATTAGAAAACATCAAATTTCCAGTAATGTACTTTTAAACAGTTGTGCGAATACTTATTGCTTCAACATTTCCATCGATTAATTGTTTTTTTCTTGTTAATTTCGCAACTTACATAAACAGCTATTTTTTTTTTTGTAATCTATCTATTCTAGAGATTTCCGAGAATATGTAGAATGTCATTGTTTATAAAAAATAAGTTAATAAATTACAATTTTACATAGTTTTTTTTTGGAAATTGATCGGTGTACGAATACTTTCTGTACCCACTGTAGATATATTCCCTACTATTATTTATTGAACTTACTCGTTACGTTGAATATGGATAGAACGATGACCATGATCGACTCGAATAAGTCCCATTTGGTAAAACGATTAATCTAAAATACAGACAGAGGAGAGTACCTCGCGAAAAAACCATTTTTTCATAACTATTTCTTACAATATTCTCAGTTATACGAATACACGACTGTTCATGATACGTTAGGCTAACTTCCGACAAAACCATAAATTGAGGCCAAAATTCTATCTGTACATTACCCCCTGTTAAAAAAAAAAGTAGATCCCACCGTGTGTTAATAATGTTTGCTTGCAACGAAATTAAAACTTCAGCGTTCGGAGCCGTCAGTAAGAGATTGAACGCGCTAAATCACATTTCCGGCCGATGAAAAGAATCGCAGAAGTTTGGGACAGGCGTGAAACGAAATAAAGGCCGTGAAAATCGTGTTTTCAGTTCTCCCCTCGTGTTGGAAAGTAGTTTGTCGAATCGATCGAAGCTAAAACTAGCCTTGAGCGAAAATGTCCTGACGATTTTTGTCGCAGCAACAAGTTGGTGGGTGGGATTCGCGGGCGCTCTGCCTTCGAACCTGGATACGCATTATTGTAATATTCAGCTGGATGAATTCAAAGCCGACGGCATCTCCGGTGATTTACTACAGATCACTGGATTAACTAAACGGGATCCGAGTCAATTTTTCTCTGGACTCTCTGTGTTCGGATATCATTCTTTGCGTATTGTTTTCAAAACGTGCAACTCGATTTTCTACTACATTCGAAAACAAAAGTTAATTAAACTGACAGCTGTATCGCTATTGATTAATAAATTAATTCTTGATTTTGGTTGACAGTGAATATATTAGTGTATTAATTAATTAATTCTTAAAACATCCCTAGGGTAGTTTTATACGTTCACTAAAAGATTTTTCATCTTCGTGCAATCACGCAACAAAAGTGAATGCCATTCTTGCCATTCTTGCCATTTTTGCTATTTTCGATAGCTCTTGTAAATAAGCTACTGAATTCTCTACTGATAATGTTGATAATAATACCAGTATTAACTAATCTTGCATCAAACAATACCAACGATTTTTTGCAAGAAAAGCATGTGATAGAGCCAGAGGAACAGGATGTCCATTTAATAACGTAACGGAGAGTGCCACTCGATTTTATACTGGCCAGCCCTCCTTTATTGCGTCATTAATTAACGGAATGATCTGAGACGGTGCGTAAACCTCACCGTAAAGGTTAGTACAGAGGGACCCTAAAATTAAGTGATTCACTCGCGTCAACAAAAAACCTGTTATAGTTTCTATTGCCAATTTGACGACGGCATAAAATGAAATTAATTCCGAACACCTAGGCCATAATGGCGGCTGATCGAAAAATCGTCATAAATACTGCGTCATACTGTTTCGACTGAAATGCTCGCTAAGCGATATATAAAATTGTTAGGCTATCGTACCGAGCATAAAAACGGAGTTAATAAAAAGAAATACTCTAATTATGTCTAGGAATTTTAAATAACTATGAAATTATAACGATCAGAGAAAATGCGACATTAATAAAGATTTAGTTAACAGTGAATCCAGCCACAAAATTCCTGAATTCAAAATTGTTCTTAATATGTACGAAATATTTTGTCAAAAATAAAAACTTGATGTACGATATGAAACTAGATATAACTACGTTCAAAAATTGGAAATAATCCCTAAACACTAGACTGCATTTTTCGAGTAAACTTCCTTCCATCTACTCCAAAACAGTCGCGTCGAAAGGCTTAACCTCGACGAATTAAAATCAACCTTCGCCGCCTGTTACAGCGTGACAGATATTGTATACCAAGCTCGATTTTGTAATTCGACGTCCGTACACGGGAATTCTCACGTGTACAGAATACTCAGCAAGTTCAAGTTTCAATTTTTTCAGGAAATTTACACCGCGAAAGGTCACTGGTATTTCCATCGTCAACGATAATCCAATTGGCAAAAAATATTAACCGTTAGCGCGCGAGCTAGAATTCCATGAAGCTTTGTTTACTCGTGACGTGGAAATTGCGCTTCTTAATTGCGAGAGAAGTATCGACAATAACACGGACTCGACACGCAGCCGGTTTTTGTGTCGTAACGTTCATGGTTAAGCATTATGACGTCGTACGATTAATGATAAACTTTGAACAATTTGAAATTATTTTCAGAGAAATTAAAGTGGATATAAATTGATACGACGTTATTTTCTCGCGACTTGACATTCAGGTTATCCTGGCGACAACCTGAACGATAATGTAGTAGTATTCAAGAATATCAGGTCGAAATCTGTTACGCACTTTCGAAAGTGAAAACGAGCCTCAACTATTTCTACGAAATTCGAAAGACGCCGCGAGGCCGAACGCATTCCGCGCGCAACGTTAAAAAATGTTTTCGACGACAGAGATGTGGGCGAAATTCTTACTTGTATACAATTTAATTACACTAAAATAGAATTGTACGAACAGCGTTTTATATGTGCTATATTGGCATGTGTCATAAATGCAGATAACCCGCTATCAAATTATTCGGGGACAATTCTTTCAGATAATCTATAAATGTTTGCAAACGTGTAGAAAGTATTCGTACACCGATCAATTTCCAAAAAAAAACTGTGTAAAATTGTAATTTATTAACTTATTTTTTATAAACAATGACATTCTACATATTCTCGGAAATCTCTAGAATAGATAAATTACAAAAAAAAAAAATAGCTGTTTATGTAAGTTGCGAAATTAACAAGAAAAAAACAATTAATCGATGGAAATGTTGAAGCAATAAGTATTCGCACAACTGTTTAAAAGTACATTACTGGAAATTTGATGTTTTCTAATTCGTACGGAGCAATAAACTATTGTGTTTACGTTACAAACTCTGCTGTAAATGGTTCGTCATAAGAATCGTACAAATATTAGGTTGTCCCAAAAGTTTCTTCCATTTCATTAATAAGTAATACATACACAATATTTTATGTCTAATGCTACATTATTGAATTGTGTACGATTCATTTTGCTCCATTACTGTTACAACATTACCATCTAAGAAATTAGGTTGTCTATTTATATAAACATTGCTACACAAAATAACGGAATGCGAGTCACGGAAGAAACTTTAGGGACAACCTAGTACTTATTGCTTCTATACTTTTACTCACTTTTCGCATTTTTTTGTTAATTCCACAAATTATATTAACTAGTAAATGTTGTTTGGATTATATCTATTTTAGAGACTTTCGAGAATATGTAAAATATCATTGATTATAAAAAAAGAAATTAAGAAACTACAATTTCACACAAAAGTTTTTTAGGAAATTGATCGGTGTACGAATACATTCTACACCCACTGTATGTGGTATATTGGCATGTGGAAAATAAATCTGAATAAATGCAGATAACCCGCTATCAAATTATTCGGAGACAATTCTTTCAGGTAACGTTTGCAGTTACACGTCCGCAGATAATCCGTAACAATTATGTTAAATGAGAATAGAACATCGCTTTGGTAAAGATTTCTCCCAATCTCTGTCTATCGTCGATCGAAATCGAAGCATGGGAATGTAAGATTATAGCGTCCCTACCTGAGACAAGTCGGAGTCATCACGGATCTTGGCGTCCATGGTTTGAGTGGCGGTGGTACCAGTCGCATCGGCGATCACGAGGATCGCGATAAACAGACAGCTCGCCGACAGCATCGTTCCTTCGTTTGAAATGTTCACTGATCGAGACGAAGAATGTCACGGGCCTGCACGAAACACACCAATTCACTTCTGTGCGCGACGGCACAGGGAACCAGTCGAACGGGAACGATCGAAGGTCGATGCTCGATCAACCGCGTCGCGAAGTCGAAAGCGGCGGATTGTTTTAAAAGTGAGCGCGACCTGGCGGTCGCTCTACACGCGCGCAATGTTCGATGCACACGTGAAATTCAAAACAAAACGAAGCGTCTCCTGGATCAAAAGTGAAATGGAACGACCAGATCGCCTCGAGAACTCTCGCAAACGATTATTAGTTTAAATAACAACGATCGTGTCCAGTGACCGTGTCGATTGGACGCGGTCTTCCAACTCACAGGCACCGATTGAAAGTTTATTTATTTGAAAGAAGGGCGAAAGGGGTTGAGTCGCGATAGGGCAAAACGTATCAACCGACTCCGCACTCTTTTCGTAGGACGTGTCAACGATACGGAGGATGGCGCGGAACTGCGCCCTCTCCATGCCTGGACCCCCGTGGCCCCCACCACACCGCCGCAACGAGTCTTCGGTGTACCGTGCCGTCCTCTCCCCTCTGCCGCGGCCGACTTTCCCCTTCCTCGCCTGTTCCCCGATTCCGCTCTGCTCGTGGGCGACACACATTCCTCACACCCGCACATAGCTTCTAAACCGGAAAAAAAATCTAAACAATGCCAGTTTTAATCCCGTGTACCCTTCGCTATTTTTTAATAGCCAATCAACCCAAGTTCTCGGTTCTTTTTGGACTAAACAATCAAATATCCACTTTCTCTGCAGAATGTATTGCAATTGAAAAGGCCATCGAACTCGCATCTACCTACAGTGACTCCCAGAAATATTCGGACATCAGTGTATGGTTAGCTTTATGGCTTAATATCGTAGTTATTAAAAAAGCAATCGTCTTCGTTACTTTTTCCAATAATAAATTATTTATTAACATTATTAAAAATATATACATTAATCCAAAAATTTAGATAAATTACATAATAACAATAAACAAACGAAAGAATACCGCATTTTCGGGTCACAAAAATATTCGGACATTATGATGAATAACATTTATTAATTAAAATTAAACATTATATGTTTCACATTAATATTTTGTTGCAAATCCCTTTTCTTTTATAATATGTCTCAATCGATTCGGCATATTATAAATTATTTTTTTTAAATATTCTGTCGAAATGGATGCCCATTCTTCTTGAAGCCTAATTTTAAGTTCTTCTTTGGAACGAATGGGTGCCTTGCGAATCCGTTGGTTCAACTTATCCCATAAATTTTCTATAGGATTAAGGTCTGGCGATTGTGAAGGTGGATGAAAGACTTTGGGGCAATTATACAATAAAAATTGTTAGACAATGCGCGACTTATGTTTAGAATCATTACCCTGGTAAAATTTAAAATCTTCAGCAATCCCCATTTTTTCTGCACTTTGTTTTAAATTGCTTTTTAAACGATTCAAATAAGCATCCTTAACCATGGTGCCATCGATAAAAACTAAATTGACAATGCCGGAAGTCGAAATGCATCCCCACACCATTACAATGCCTCCTCCGTGTTTAATCGTACTCGAAAATGTGATATTCTTTCGTTTGTTTATTGCTATTATGTAATTTATGTAAATTTTTTCATTAATGTATACATCTTTAATAACATTAATAAATGACTTATTATTGGAAAAAGTAACGAAGACAATTGCTTTTTTAATAACTACGATATTAAGTCATAAAGCTAATCATACACTAGTGTCCGAATATTTCTGGGAGTCACTGTACCTATCCTTATGAAAATACGTTCATTTACTCAGACTGCCTAAGTGCTCTTCAAACACTATCCAAGTTCACTCTTAGTGTAAAAGTTAATCCGTTAGTACTTGATATCAGAAATAGAGAAGTAGGAATCTACTTTCTTACAACGAGAATGTGGATATTTTAGCCAAAAATGCTACTGAACTCGAAAGTTCAACTGATATCCTAGTTCCAGCCTCCGACTTTTTCAAGAGTTTTAAAAAACAAGCGAAAATTGAAATGGAAGAGTGGCTTCTCGATGAATCTAAACATAAGGGTACCAAGTTTTTCAATCATTTTTACAATTTTAATCCCAAACAATGGTTTGCATACAAATTCCTCCCCAGAAATTTCGTTTCCTGGATCAATAGATGTCGCGCAAATCATTACCATCTGGCTGTCTCCCTTTTTCGAGTTAAGATTATTGGTGATCCAAAATGTCAGTGTGGCTATATGGAGCAAGATCTAAATCACGTTATATGGCAGTGTCCGCTATTTGACAATGAAAGGAATGACATGGTACAAAAACTTTGTCAGCTCGATTTACGCCCTCCTTATACAATAGATGCCCTCCTATGTAGACCATATATCCAACCTTTGTTAATAATTTTCACATTTCTTAAAAAACACGATATATATCCTTAAATGTAAGAATTAAATGTAAACTTCTTTAGACAGTATGTAAATGTGTATTTTCATGTAATATTACTAATAACCCCGTACGGGGTTCTATAGCTTAATAAAGAAAAAAATGATCAACTCAAGTATCGTGCTGTGAAAATTAATTTATAAGAAATTAATTTTCTGCCTTTTTAGAGTAAATAACAATTCATTAGGTGCGTAAAATATCATGATGTAAAATATCATTGATTATAAAATAAGAAGTTAAGAAATTACAATTTCACACAAAAATTTTTTGGGAAATTGATCGGTGTACGAATACATTCTGCACCCACTATAACTCTAAACAGATATACCTGTCATTTTGGTACATTGTTTCGAGTCTCAACTTGATGGACATTACAATGCACCTACACAAACTTTAGTAGCCTCGAGGCCTTTTTTCTTGCATCTGCCAGGGACTGGAGACGCTTTCTCAGCATTTTATCGCCACGAATGCTAATCTTAGATTGACTTGGACGATGTAGCCCGATTGTCATTTTATCGACACATCGAGTTCCAAACAAACTAAACCTAAAGAAACAATACTGCTGGTAGATTTGCTGCGTGAATCCTAGTGGTGAGTGAAAGTCACCCCTCGAGTGCAAAGGGTTAATTTGCTAAAAGAACAGTAAAAACATATAGATATATTCTAATGTCCATCAAGTTGAGACTTGGATTATCTATCTATATTAATTTATCGGAGAGATGGATTTCAGCTAGAGTTATAAATGAGTTTTATTTCTAGATTTGAGGCTTGCGTAATTTTGTAGCCTTATTTCTCTAGATGTGTTAAGATCACGGCTCCCTGTTCTGGCTAATTTTATGTAATTATTAATCAGAAAGCGATTGAGTTAAATTTATATATTTGCTGCTGATTAGTGGATTCTGTTACTACTTTAAAGCGAATTTTTTACTCCATTCTCTATCTCGACTAGCAATAGTTATTTGATTCTCCCCATTTCTTTCTATTTGGAGTCGTATTTTACGTGAAAATGTTGGAAATGATACGAAATCGACGTTTGACGAACAGCGTATTCCGAACGGAGTGAATTGATTGAAACGAATGATCGGAGGGGAGAAAGAATGGAGTATAAAACGATTTATACCAGGGAGTAATAGTATTGCGATTGAAAAGTACGTTCAGGTTCGAGTAACTGGTGGAAGTTATTGGGAGGTAATTGGAAAATTTGGCAGGTACATATTCGATTCATTTGCGGAAAAATTCGGGGAAGATGAAATGAAGCGTTTTCCAATCTTTTTTACTCGTGGCCCACTTCAGCGTCTGGTTTATTCATATTCTTTTTCCCGTATTTATTACTCTTTAGAAATTTAACTTTTTTTTAACACATAACAATGGCCTGAATAGTGTGCCTTACTATTATTATCGATTTAGATTAACCTTTTGGCCTACAACGACGAGTGAACGATAAACAATAAGCACGAGTCCGACTCGTGGTACTTCGTTCGGACTTCCTACCTTCCTGTTTTTTATGGCACTAGGAAGATAACGTGTAGGTAAAGGGGTTAATAAATAATTCTGATCGTTCTTCCACTTTTAAATTCGAAATAATTACACATATCCGTTTCAGTTCAAGTTAGATTTTCTGGTTTATTAGAGATATGTACATGGATTACAACCGTTCGCTCGATTTGAACCCGCATACATTAGCTGATCTGTCAATGTAATACCTATATTTGTCACGTTTAGTTTACTTGAATTTGCATTCGCTATTTTTTGTTTCGGTTATTTCGGAATTTCTCGCTTATCTCTGTAAACCAGACAAGCAAACCTGTTAGATATTAATGCTGATACCTGTCTAAGCGAATAAAATGTTTCCAAAAAAAAAGTACCACCAACCTGTGTTGGGAATTTTGTCACGATATTTTAAGATTTTTTCGAGTCATGTAAAAGTAGATAAATAAATACACTGCATTTACTAGATACTGCACGAGGAGACACAATGAAAAGAATTCATTGCCTCTTAAGGCCATCATCAATCCTCACCACGTGACATCACCTAACCCGTTGATCCACCCTCTCCTCGACCAATCACCACGAAATCTCTAATTGTGCCGTACACAATGAGCGACGTCACGGCCACAAAACTTTTCCCGTTGCACGATGGCCCTCGAAACCGGCGGCTCCGCCTTAACCACGAATCCGTGGCACGTGGAGCTGTTAACTCCGAGCACAAAGTAACGCGATCGTTCCACCCTGGTGCGTTGCTTCTTTTATATATTAGCCCCAAAGAGCGATGCGCGTTAAGGAAGAATAATACTAACCGTGAAATATCAATTTTTCACGCGGCGTTATCAAAGGCCCGCGTTTCCTTCGGTCCAAAGACGAGAAGACATCGTCCAAAGACGAAGCCCAGACGCGCCGCTGCGTTTCGAGATCGTAAACGCGCAAGCTAAAGTACACTGATTGTCATTAATTAATTTCGGTTCCACAGCCGCCGACCTTCTACCGCCTTGGAGCGCCCTTAACGTGCTTCACGTTTCATGGTCGTGACTTCCGTCGTTAATAATTCGACGAACGCCAGCCGTCTCGAAATTGCTCTTTAAGGCGTGTAACTAATCTGGCTCCTCACGGAACGAACCAATTCGGGACATTTTTCACACGAATAACTAGGTATGGAGTTCGAATTTGTACATACCGATATAGTGTATAATGCGAAGGTCCAGAAGATAGTTACAGTTATACTCATACGTACTATGTTATAAAAGATATATTTCGTTTAATGTAATAAATATATGAATATACACTCAGTCTCATAAATATTTGTACCTCATGTACTTTAGTATATTTATTGAAGAAATTGTTTTTAATTAAATGGTAAGTTTGATGTTTCCAAGTGTATGTTTGTTGTGTTTGTGTATAAAATTATTCGTATACATATTTATAATGAAATATTCATTTGGTAATACCAAACCTGTTATTTAATTTAGTCAAACTTCTTCGATAGACATGGAGGATACGAATATTTATGGGATTGATTGTATGTATAACTGTGTATCTATTAGTTTACGTAATTAAAGAATGTATTGTAGTACAGATATATACTTTTGGTAC